ACGGACTTCGACGACGACGGTGAACTATGTTACGCGAGGAACGCCATTTTTGGACGTACCGCCGCGGCGCCGTGCGTTGATGAATGTTCGACGTGCGTGAGCTCACTGAACCGACATGGAGATCCCTTCCTCTTTCGTTCTCCGGCAGCTCCCCGATACAATCGCCCGTTGTGGGATCGTGGAGTCCGCGCGATTGTAATGGGTGCAGGATCGTAGCCACGGACAACATGGCGCCGACATCGTGTTGTCAAACGTTTCTAGATGAAAAATGAAAATTGGACGTTTTATTACAATTTGTTGCTCGAATATAATTTAAAATCACGAAAGACTCACCGAAGTCGATGGTGGCGACTTAATAGTTGCACACAATCGGCGATTCTCTTGCGATCGATGAGAAAAGGTCCGAGGTTTTTTAAAATTTCATGAAGGCACCAAGCTATTGACGGTTCTATTTTGTAAAATTTTATAAGCGCTCCTATCTTATCCGTGGAAAGATGACGTGGGAATAAATATATAATGTCATTCTGTTTAAATTAAAATAAACAAGTGACTTGCACATTTTTTTTTGCATGCGCATATATGTACATTTTTCTTACATTGCACCTACATAATTTAGATCCAGCAAGTTCTTGCGATACTTTCCTGAGTTCTAGGCAGCAGAAGCCAACGGTTCCGCAAGGTGGTGGCACCTGTCGGAACCGTAATCGCTTGTGCTGCATACGAACAGGCGAATTTCTTCGCACCTGAACGGTGGATGACGTTTTAGTAAACATCGGTGTTTAGCTTGTGCATTTCATACCCTATCCAGTGCGTTTGTGACGTCAGTATATCCAAAGAGGACAAGAAAGTCAAAATAATGTAAATTTAACGTTATATTGACCGAATTTATGTCATTCTTTTTATCATCATTCAATCCATATGACATTATTTTGAAATTCATAGAAAAGCTCAAACAAACGAGCAGTTAATTAGGTCAAAAATTAAACCTAGTTTATTAAAATGTCAACGAAAAATTAATTTTGCATTTTATATTAATGAATAATTAATTTTAATCCCTTCTTCATGTTTTAATAAACTAGTTTTGATCTTTGATCTAATTAATTGCTTGTTTCTATCAAGTTACTTGCAATGCAAATTCGAGCTAGGAAATTGATATTAATATTATTTTGATTGTCTCTTGTTCTCCTTGAATAATTTTCTAATAGGAGGAGAGTCTCCTTAGCACAATCATAATAGCACTGCATAACATCTTGTCTGTAACGCTTATTTACCCATAATTGAAGATTGATGAGCGATAACGTTTAAACAGATTTCTATCTTGAGCGCGAGTAAAACGCGCTGATTTATAATTAAATCAATGTATGTTTTTATGATTTCATCAATGAATGTTCTTTCAATATTCCTTTCCTCGTTTATGGTTAAAAGCAAAGACATTTGACTACTTCGGGCCTTCACTTTCCTTCACGTACCTGACCTCCTCCGATATTCGGCAGGCGAACAACACACAGCAAAAATACACGATGTAATATGTAAAATACTATAGAGAAAGAAAAAAATGCGGTGCCCCCGAGTGGGTTTCACATGATGACGTAGCGGCGGAGATTTCAATTCCAATTATGCGAATTAAGCGAGATCTCTCTCAATCGGGCGTTGATATCTCCGCGCGTACGAACGCGCCGATCCAAAAGCTCAGCCCACTCCCGCAGCGCATTTCGAAACGCTCTAATTTATTCGCCTTTGTGCCGTGCACACAGTGGCGGAACACAATGTATGGCATTAAATATTACAAAACGACGATTCGTAGGAAATTACGATATATATGTTGCGATATCGTAATTGCCACAATTACTGGAGACTATGACGCGATTGTATCTAACGTAAACGCTGTACTACATTACTGTAATATTTATTCGCTTAATGTGTGTACCATATTACGCTGTGT